CTGTTCACACCGTCTTTGTGCTGATTGGCCACCCATCAGCCTATGACAGTCCCCCTTGCCATATACCCGGCCGTTTCCACAAGCCTCCTCACTTGTGCTGTCTATCGTACTCAGTACACGTCCTATTTCCAATTAGCCTTCTCTTTTGCATAGATAACATTGGCGACGCAGCCTAACGAACATGTCTTCATTGCTGTCTACACCGCTACCTTTTTGGCCAAAGAACACCCCGAAGCCCTCAAATGACTCGTGGTTGCAATGGAGGAAGACATTTGAGGATTATATTGAACTACTCCCGATTTTGTCACCCATGATTGTACTAGACGTCCTATCTAAGTTGAAACTCCTCCGGACGAATCTCGGAGAGTTGGGACAACGATATTTCGATGTCCTCAATCTACAAAAGGCTATAGATCTCCAAACAGCCTTCTCAAAACTCGAGTCAGCTTGGGGAGGAAAGGACAACGTCTTTCTCAGTCGCTATCGGTTTTGTCAAATGCGTCAAGAATCCAATCAATGTGTCAGTGATTTTATTACTAATCTGACCCTGGCCATTCAGGACTGTGGGTATAAAGAGATCAAGGCAGACAACTTCGTGCACGCAATGCTCGTTCAGCAGTTGATCGTCGGTCTACGCGATGAAAAAGCTCGGGAAAATCTCTTATCAGAGAAGAAGGATTTGTCATGGGAGAAAGCCTGTGATATTGCCAGTCATCAGGAGCGCGTGCGGCAAAACCTTCAGCAGCTGAATCAGTCAAACGATGGAGTGATAGCATCCTTGGAATCGGAAATGGCTGTCTCCCTGGTCAACACTGCTGTGTCTTCACCTAGACAGCGACCCTCAGCTCCCTCAAAACAACTACCATCATGCTACCGTTGTGGCCAGCATCATATCCGGTGGTCAGACTGTAGACACCAGAAGACGGTATGCCAGTTTTGCAAGAAAGTCGGCCACATCGAACGAGTGTGTTTCTCCAAAAGAGGAGCGAATAGTAACACGCATGCGACCTACCCTAGTCCAGCTGGGGATGGTGAGGCGATACTCCGAATGTTTCCGGCCAACGCTACTCTCCAATCCCCCTACACCATCACGCTTCCGGTTGATCACCATCCCGTGAAGTTTGAAATCGACACTGGCTCAGCTGTTACTCTCACCAATGAGGCCTCTCTTCAGAAAGTACCCTCCCTCCTACCGGCTAGCTCAACATTCCGTAGTTACACTGGACAGAACGTAGACGTTCGAGGGGTCTTTACAGCCGAAGTCGAACATGATGGAGAACTTCATTACTTGCCGGTTCATGTGGTGAGAGGAAGCCAACAACCGAATCTCCTTGGACGAAATTGGATTAAATGTGTGCCTTCTGTGCTATCCTATGTGCATCGGATTGGTGTAAATCCGGCTTTAGATTCAATTTTGGTAAATCATAAGGATCTATTTCGTGACGATTCAGCTACCCACTACCGCGGTCCACCTGTTAAGTTTCAGTTTCAGTCAGATTTCCGGCCCCGGTTCTTCAAAGCTCGTACAGTCCCCTATGCACTCGCACCGAAGGTCGAAGAAGAGCTGGATCGCCTACAGAAAGCGGATATTATTGAGCCCGTGCAATATTCGGAATGGGCAGCCCCAATAGTTCCTGTTCTTAAAACCGATGGTTCTGTGCGTATCTGTAGCGACTACAAGCTGACAATCAACTCAGAAACTAAACTGAACCCTTATCCTCTCCCGCGCATCGAGGATCTGTACGCATCTCTCTCGGGTGGTCATCAGTTTACAACTTTGGACCTAAAGCCTGCCTACAACCAAGTCGTCCTAGATACTGAATCCCGAGACGCCACCACCATCAATACGCATCGGGGTTTATTTCGATATAAAAGACTACCATTTGGAGTAAGTTCGGCTCCCGGTTTATTTCAATGCTTGATTGATAATCTCGTGAAGGATATACCTCACGTTTGCGCATATCTTGACGATATATTAGTTACCGGTCCATCTGAACGTAGTCATCTAGAGACTCTAAACATCGTGTTAGGACGTTTAGAGGACGCCGGTTTTAAGCTCAGGAAAGAGAAGTGCACTTTCCTTGCCGACTCGGTAGAATACCTGGGCTTCAGGGTGGATAAAACTGGCCTCCATCCACTTGAACATAAGCTCAAAGCCTTGAAGACGGCGCCGCGCCCCAACAATACTAGTCAATTGCGTTCATTCCTGGGGTTGGTCACCCACTATAGTCGCTTTATGAATCAATTGGCTACAATTCTCAAGCCTCTTTATCGACTACTTGAAAAGAATTGTGGCTGGCACTGGTCGGAGGTCGAACAAAGTGCTTTCGAACAGGCAAAGGCGGCTCTTACCTCCTCTGATTTTCAACCATTCTTCAGCCGTCAGAACGAGTTAAGTCTACAAGACGGATGCATACTATGGGGCAATCGTGTAGTTGTGCCACCACAAGGTCGACGGGCCATCCTCAGAGACCTGCATAATGCTCATCCTGGTACAGTTAGAATTAAAGCTCTCGCCCGCAGCTATGTTTGGTGGCCCAAAATTGACGCAGATATAGAAAACGTGGTGAAAGCATGTCACGTGTGCCAAATAACACAGAAGACCTTACCGAAGGTTCCTCTGAAGCCTTGGGCCTGGCCCGACTCGCCGTGGAAGAGGGTACACGTCGATTATTTTGGGCCATTCCAAGGCCATATGGTTTTGGTGGCAGTTGACGCCCACACTAAATGGATTGATGCGATTCCGACAGGAAATTCTTGTTCCTCACTGACTACAATCAACGAGTTGCGAACCGTCTTTTCTACTTTTGGGATACCTGAAATGGTCGTTTCAGACAATGGCCCGGCCTTTACTAGTGCAGAATTTAAAGATTTCATGGAGAAAAATGGAATTAGACATTTAACTACTGCCCCGTACCACGCTGCTTCAAATGGCCTCGCAGAGCGTGCAGTCCAGACAATAAACCACGGACTAGCCAGACAGACGGAAGCGGACTTGGCCACCAAGTTGTCACGCTTTCTGTTTAGCTATCGCATAACACCAAACGACTCAACGGGTGCTTCGCCTGCAGAATTGATGTTCAAGCGGCAGTTGCGCACACGACTCGACCTGCTTAATCCATCAACGCAGGATAGGGTCACTGCAAAACAGACGAAGATGAAAGAACGATATGATGTGAGCACCCGACCACGAGTTGTCGCGCCCAACGAAAGTGTCTACACGCGACTGGAACACGAAACGAACTGGTGTCCAGCGGTAGTTCGAAAAAGCGAGGGTCAAATAGTGGAATTAGAGTTAGAAGGTGGGCGAATTGTGCGTCGACATCTGGACCAAGTTCGCAGCCGAACGGACCCAGTAAGTGGAGAATTCGGAGAGTTAGAACTGCCAGCAACCCTTGATAGGGATCCTGACATCCCGAGGACTGAGCCCCTACTTCCTGCACAGGGGTGGTGGTGATGAAAGCCCGCACCGAACCCCTCCTCCTCTATGAAATCGCTTACTGTTGAAGGAAAATGTACCCGTAAACCCTTCTACCAATGGAGCTTCGTTTAACTAGTGCCAGCGACTATAACTCTCAGCGGGAACTATCATAAATCAGGTCAGCCAACTTTTACGACAATTCTTTGCTCAACTACACGTGGGACTGTTGAAGGGACGATGGGTCGATAGTCCGAAGGTTTCCCAAATCACAATTCAGGGGAGACAATATTGCTGGACACTGCGGCACAGCTCAGCAGACGGTGGGAACAAGCGTTCTCCTCTGTCAGATGAAATCCGTTGAGACTGATTGCAATCTGAACACGAAGCACGTGCCTGCGCTCGGGTTTTGCTTGTCTGCAACCAGTCAGCGAAGGACGCGACGTCGACTGGCCCCAAGCCCGCGTCACGTCGGTGTCAGGTCTCACACGGCCAGGTGCTACGGATTAGCGCATCAAGGGCGGTCAACGCCTGCACCTACTCCCTAATCCGGCAAATTGAACCGTCTGCTGCCTACGACTCATTGCGCTCACACCGCCGCGGTGCTCGATCCAGTCCTCAGCCGACAACACGCGGTGCCGCCACGCGTTGACGAAGCAGAAAAACCGCACATTTGCAGTTGCTACTTGAATGTTTGAGGCAAAACGCCTAGATGTAGGGGCAAGCCCAGACAAATGTGATGACTCTCCCGCCAATCCACCGTTCTCATTTTTACCATTTAAGTTGCGGCAGCTCCTAGTGAGTGAGTGTTCTCCGATCGCCACAGTAATAATGACCTGGTTCCAATAATAGTCGTGTATTCTGTTCTGGGCCTGTGGGCCTGGATGAATAAGCATCACGTGAGAGTCGGTCAGCGTCATATTGGTGAATGGAATAGGTGATTAGGGAGTAAGTGCGCGCCTATGATTAGCTGTCCTCTAGGCTGCATGCACGCACGTTCCAGCCCCCCGAAGTAGTGATCACATGATTCCTAGTACTACGTAGGTAGCAGAGGCGGAAGGATTATACGTGCTTCAGGTGCTACGAAGACGAAAGTCTGGCGGACGATAGGTTGACCAGTCGGCACGATGTTTCTTCACAGAGTTCGTGATAGGATCTAGGATCCTTGGAATGTACCACTTTTGCCACCCAATTACCGACACTTCCACCTTGTCAGGTCTGCTAATTTGGCAGATTCTGAGGTGAAATTGTTTAATTTGGTGGACTAACTTTTATGGTACTGTGGCAGTCCGCGCTTCCCTGCTTCCTGTCGCTTTGTCTAGCTGCCCTTCTGTCCGCCTCACGCTCCTTGTCCATTCGCTGCTGGGACCGCGCGAGGCTTGTCATCAGTCTCGCGAGAGCTCGAACTCAATCAACGCTGATTGGCTGGCGGAGGACAATTCCGACAGAGTGAAAGGCTGACACACGCGCTGGGGACAAAGAATCTCAACTGCGGGCACAAACTGAAGAGACCGCTTGCGGCAGCTGCTTGCAGAGCCTTGTGCACGCACTCCCTCAGCAGTAAGGACCCAATCCGTCTTTCCCGACTTCTGATTTGTGAACCTTTGTGTTATCGACCATACCAACTCGGCAGTACCACGCATTCACGTGAATTTCTGTCGCTCATGCAAATTTCCATAAAATCGTCTTAACTACTTGGCGATCTAGAGCAAAATAAACAAGAACTACTCTCTATCTGAAGACTGCTTTTAGCAACCAGTGATAATGGGACCCCTGGCCGAACAGCCATTTCGGGCTTAGGAAGTGTGGTGGTCAGTGCTTATTCAGGCTGTTCAGTCGACGAATGGAATGCACCTTATTGCATCGGACCGCTAAGTCACGAGTTGCTTGTGTGGGAGGCACGTCAGTGTCCTCACACCTTATCTTTGATGCACGTGACTCAATCTCGTATTGCGGCAACCGGTTGCGGGACTGGGTTGTTCAGTTTTTTGGAGGCGTTGTGATGATCGATGTTGATAAAACCACGCCTGTGATGCAAGCGACGTCGGAAAGTAGAACGGGACCACAATTTCATCCTTCAAATGGCTTCATTCAGGGAGTTCTTGTGTTGTGCAATGCGGATTCGGGTGTATTTTGAGAGTGCCACTGGCATGGTTTGTGAAGCGACGGTCACGACCCCTGTGTCCAAGTGCGGTTGCGTTGTGCAACACCGGACAACGACGGCCTTTAGTTGTCTGGACATGGGCGTGTTGCACTAGCGCAGGACGGTCGGCTGGCTGAACTACAGATGACCTTCGCCGGCAGATCAACGCCTCTGACGATTTTTGACAGGCCTGATGTGCCCGGACATGCGGGCGTGTTTACAACGGAAGTTAGCGACCATGAGGAAGTGGGCCATGCGTGTGTAAGTGCTGAAGCAAAGCGCGGCTATCACAGCAGTTCTAATGATTGGTAAGACATGTGCTCCGTTGGATCACCTTGCTGACAGCAGATGCTTGGGGGACCGTTACTCAGAAATGGCAATAGAGTCGACCGGATTCGTTCGCCCGCGTGTCACAGTGCCTCTGTAGGTTCCTGCACGTAATCTTCTTGTGGCGTCTTTGCCTGGCGGGAGAAGTGATCTTTGTAGTAGTAGTGGTAGTAGCAGTAGTAGTAGTAGTAGTAGTATTAACAGTAGTATTAGTAGTAGTGGCTGATGTAGTAGTAGTAGTAGTAGTAGCAGCAGCAGCAGTATTGGTAGTATTATTGTTATTATTATTATTATTATTATTAGTAGTAGTAGTAGTAGTAGTAGTAGTAGTAGTAGTGGTGGTAGTAGTAGTAGTAGTGGTGGTAGTAGTAGTAGTAGTAGTAGTAGTAGTAGTAGTAGTAGTAGTAGTAGTAGTAGTAGTAGTAGTAGTAGTAGTAGTAGTAGTAGTAGTAGTAGTAGTAGTAGTAGTAGTAGTAGTAGTAGTAGTAGTAGCGGCCGCATAGTTATGAAGCCTGCCGGGTTCATTCATAAACGCATTGTCAGGAACACGCGTGGCTGGTGATTTCATCTCACTTATCCATTTTAGGGCTGCCGTGAACAAACAAGAGACATTGCTGATCACACCAGAGTTAGGTCTAGGGAGAGGAGACACATATTGGTAGTGTATAAATGCTTAAAAGTATGTGATCACAAATCATGCCTAATCACTAGAAATGACTGCGCAGGAACGGTTAACATTCCTTCAGATTAAGCATCCGACCGGTGCGGCATGAATTCCCGTTTGCTCTTCAAGTCACTTATGTTAATTAGTTGATAAACACCCCCAAAAGGGTCCAAGACTGCGCAAATGAAAGGGCCCATTTCATGTCTGTGGCAGTCAGCTCTCATAGTCGCCGGCACGGTCGCTCACTCACGCCGCCTCCAGTCCGCCTTGCGCTCTCTGTAAAGCAATGGGTCGGGCCGGCTGTGACCTTGAAGCCGAGTTCGCAGCTTGCCTCCAGGGATCCGGACGCAGCAATGTGGGAAAGGGGACCACGCCTCGCACTGCCAGTTCGTGCTTGCGTGTTCATTGACTCAGCTTTGCCGATAGAAGAGAACAGACCAGTTCCAGGAAGC